AAAATAAAAAAAAAAACACCTTTGGTATGAACTGCGAATATTTTTTTGGCATCGGCTGAGCTGAGTCTTTCGATATCTGGTCGAACATTAAATAAGGGTCCAGTGGGATCTAGAACTACTATCATTGACATTTTTTGTGGCAGCAGTTCTTGAACTTTCTGCTGACACCAAGTTGTAAAGACGACTCCCAACAAGTTTGGCATCGTAAGATGCTGTAATGTATAAGGAATTCACATTCGGTAGATGTAACTAGATTTGGTAACTTTTTTTTTAAGCTGTGTAACTGTGGACATAATTGTTCCAGTGTATAATGTATAACTGGAATGTCAGAAAGTAGGTATCAAAAATGTGACATGTAAGTAAGTAAATGTCAAACATAGAGAATGTGTTGGTTTTGTGGTAATCTGCTGAATTTATTTTTGAATTAAGGAGAAAATCGCATCCTTCTAAAAGCCCAAAGAGGAACCCGCATGTAAAATTGTGAATCTTTTCCCTTCACTAGTTTTTTTAGGAGGACAAAATTTGAGTCATCATCATGAATCCACAATTTTACCATAGATCCATTTTGGTGTATCCATGTCTCATCCACAAAAATGAAAAGTAAATCTTCACCACTATCACGCAATTGGAGATACCGCCTTAGAAATTTGATTCTGGTAGCTATAACGCGTTTAAAATCTGAAAAACTTTGCCTCCGGAAACCTAAATTTATACGTGTACTACGTACAATTATTCTCAAAGCCGAGTGTTTTCCCTCTTACAAAACAATAACGATTATATAAAACTTAAAAACCAATTGTAGAGCGGAACCAACAAAGCATGTAGGTATATAAATCTGCGCAGTCGTCTTTCTGATTCTGATTATAATATTAACGGCACCGGCGCCGCTGTATCGGTATTAATTTAAAATTCGAAAAACACTCGACAACACCAGCGAACTTTACGGAAAATATTTCTGCCACCAGTTTAACTGTTTCCGTTTTACCCAAGCGTTCCCCATTTTTCTCTGTAATTTTTTGATAACCACGAAATATTTCTTGTCTCTTTTCCTTTAAAATGGGCTTTCTTGTGACTACTTTTGTGGAAATTGTTTCCACGCTGTATTTAAGGATTTTCTTGAAACGAAGCGTGTTGAAATTAGAAAAACTTTTTAACTGACAAATGTTTTAAGGTCTATCGATGAATAGCTAATTTTTTGTTTTGTTTATGTTTTATAATCCTAGAATGTGAAAAAATCGGTCTATGTGCTGCACCGTTAACAACCTTTCTATCAACGGTTACAGCGTACGGCTCTCAGTTTGTTTTTGGCGGCGGGTCGACGCAATTTTCTCAATAAACTATAGCCGATTTTGTGTCGAAGTGACAAGGAATCTGGTTAGTGGGCGCCAGGTAGTTAGAAAACTAAAATCAACTCACTGAAACTAACAACTACCAATTTAGTTCCAAATAAGTAATAAATATTTGCAAAAACAAAATTATTCCTAGTATAAATAAGAAGGTATCAAATGGAATTAAATAAAGGATATTGATTTCTAATTAGTATCTCAAATCTAGCGTTATTTCTAAGCACAACTCACCAGTGGCGGCTGGCAAGAAAAATGTTGGGAGGATGCTGGTGAAGATTTTTAGAATCCATAATTATATTTACAGTCTACACTAATACCTACCTTTAAAATAAAATTAAAAAAAACAGAACTCCTCAAACGCATAAAACAAGAAATTCAGGCTACATAAGAAAACAATGATATATACATTCACGGTAGTTACATAATACCTACAGTTGCCGCCAAAAAATTTCAGACGTCAATGTCATTCAGTCGTCAGAGAGTCTAAAGCAACCTTTAGATGTTTCTAACCTAAATGTTTGACAGTCATTTTTAACTTTTACATTTGACACTTACATGAATGTAGCTGTAGCGTAAGCTGGAATTTTGAAAGTTTGACAGCTGAAATAATGACAATAAAGCATAGACTACATTAAAATTTTTGACATGACAGAAAAGTGATGTTTGAAATTTTTTGTCGGAAACTGTATGTCCTTGGCATATTTGATACATATTTTTAAACTTAAACACAAATTAAATTGTCCACTAATTTATAGAACACACATTTTTTTAGACGTATGTTTTATAAAGTAAATCGACTTTGCGATGTTTTCACTGAGCGAAATCTTCTATACTTAATTCGTTGAATTTTTCACAATTTCATTTCAGCGTTTTCCATTTTAACCTTTTGTAAGCGGTAAATAAACAAATCAGCAGAGCGATAAACGCGACACGCTACAATCATACGACTGCAAACTGTAACCGATTTCAAATTTCAAACACCGAACTTCATGATTGGCGCGGCGGTGTCCGAAAATGAAGGTGATTTTGATTAGTGTGTCACTGCACAGTTGCAACATTGAAAACCACACATCTCAATGCATAATTCTGCGGTATGGACATGTACCGGCAACGCTGCATTTGGACACTGTGTCCTGCGTCCGCAGTAAAACAATAAGCTGTGTAATAACAGAATCAGGATTGTTGGCTGCGTACACAATCATGGAAAATTTTCGAAGATTATGTGAACACCCATTTCTGAATTAAAATAATAATATTAGGATAATACAAATATTTAGTGGAAGATATAGTGTAGTGTGTAGAGAACCGAATTGGGGGGACACTGTCTCTGTCACCTCCCTGTCAAAACCGCCCCTGCAACTCACATTAGACAGGGGCCGCACTTATGTAAGCTTGGTTAACATTAGTTTATCCTCTAAAATTAAGGACTCATATGTGGCCGAAAGGGCCGGAAGAAATTTTGACAACGCAATTATTTGATCTTTGTGGGCGAACACAATAACAGCAGAAAGATCTGACCTTAGTTGTTTCTCCAGAGATGGTGGCGGTTGGTTTGGGGTGCCGGAGTGAAAACTGGAATAGGGCGATCGAGCAGTGTGCGGCAAAAATAATAGCATAGGCTCCAAATGGCTCAAAACTCTCAGGATCGGGAACCTTCAGAAATCAACGTCATGCAAAGCACAAAATGGTGCCGTTCAGGCAGCCACACACACAGAGGGAAGAGTCAAGACTTGAATGTACGTGCCACGGGGTACAGTTAAAACTCCTAATGTGTGGGGAAGAATGTGGCATGTGCAGTCAAGTCTGTTGTTAGCGTGCACAGTTATAACTGCGCGGGGAAAACTCAGTGTGTGTGGAGACAAGTCGCTGCACGCTTGAGTTTTAATTCATTAGCGTCGTATTTTTAAATACGTCTGACTTATTTTACAACTATTTTTTTATATAATACAAATGCACGCTACTATAATAACTTACGACATTTTTGCACACACTTTTGATTGCGCAGTCTTCCCTCTCTCTGTGTGTGCAATTAGAGAGTACGGGTTTAACTTACGACAAGCGTGCGCACTTTTAACTGCACAGTCTTCCCTCTGTGTGTGTAGCCGCCTTTTAACTAGCGCGCCGACTCGACAAAAGTCTGGATCAGCATCTACTCCAGTGAATTCAAAAAACCATAAAATTCGTGGTCGATTTAGCGAAGCGAAAAAGAAAATTGAATATCACCTCGTGTGGTGAAGGCTTTGTCCGCAATGAAACGTTGGGCTTCTTTCTGCCGTCGACGACAAAAACGAAAAGGATAAAGAACGGATAGTGAGGATTATAATAACGTGCTATGATTTTTCGATCATGTACCCAACTGGGTAAACCGCGACTAAATTAATTAACTTAAGAACTACCGAACTTGAACGAATGCTTAATAAAAAAAAGATGCATAACGAATGTTACAGTGCATACGATACTTCTTTACCGGTATTTTAACAATTCTGAAATGTAGCTTAAAAGTGAAATCTTACATACAAAAATTAGGATAGAAGTTTACAGTATGATCAGTAATAGTAATTATACCGCGTGATTTTTTAAATGTCTGCTCTAATTAGTCATGACGCGTACACCAGCAGTGTAACACAAACAGCTGACGTAAGCGCCATGGCTAACTAAAGCAGAAAATGCTCAAAAATTATTTGTCATAATACGCAGTCTTATCACTGATTTAAGTTAAAAAATATAAACAATGCTTGCAGCGATATCAACAAATGCCAAATTGGTCTGATTTGCTTTACTTGTAATAAAATTCGTCGGTTAGTCAAGTCTCAACTTAAAATTGCTATAGAAAATAATATTGTTACAGAAGCAAAAAATTAATATGTATCTTCGTTAGTAAAAAAATCGTACTTTTCTTTAAATCCCATTGTACAATATACTGTGTTGAAAATGTACGACATTGTACCTCTGTTGTAAACTTCCACATTCGCGTCATACAGACTGTCTTCCCAAACGGCAGCTCGGTCTTCAATTCCTTGATATTTACAAGTGAGAAACAAATAAAATATTGAACAATACACGCAAGGTAATGGGTTTTTACTGGCTCCAGAAGGTGACTGGCTCGCCTGCGGCTCGCCAGTCATATTCTTCTGTCCGCCAGTAAAAACCCTTTTACCATGCTAGTAATGTTAAATACTATATCGTCAATTACTTATTAATTGTTCGCTCGTTCTACCTACTTAATAATTGAAACACCATATAAAACTGTTGTTTTATCGACTCAATACACCACAACATAAAAAAGAACCTGAGTTAAAACCTTGAAATTATACTGATGATCTTTATATCTAAACATACCAAAATTTTAAGTACCTAATTTAAATAAATGAACATTGTTTTTTTTTTCATTAAATATTATTACAATTTAAAGGAATTCATGGTTATACGAAATAATATGATAAATGAAAAAACCAAACACTTCAAAAACAAATTTTACAATTGTTACGGCACTATGAAAGAAATACTTATTTTTAAAATATCCTATCTACAATTCTACACGATCATTTCATCATTGCCTTATCTTTTGCATGAAATATCAAAAATGATATTTTTTATCATGCTCCATATAGTCCTTCGTCATTTAAGTGGTTTCTAAATGTTTACTCCATCATCGAACTTAGATAACCGAAATCCTTCATTTTAGTATCTACACACTACAGTGAAGTGCAAAATGCTTTCAAAAGTAATAATTTTCATCTTTTTAGGATTTTTCCTAGAAGAATCTTCAGCAGCAACAGGTAAATTAATAATACCAGTAGTCAAAATATAGGTAGTTACTTATTTCTGCTTATAGATAAAGTTATTTGCTATTACGCTAGCTGGGGTGCACAAAGACCAGGTAATGGCAAATTCGTACCCGAAGATATTGACGCAAATCTATGCACTCATATTAATTATGCATTTGTTGGACTTGATGATGACTGTAAAATAGTTGTCTTAGACGAAGAGAATGACATAACCCAAGGTAAGTGCATATACACAGATATTCTACTCGAATATACAGGGTGTCTCAGAAATAAGTACATTAATTTTAATCAGTTATAGAGCTCATTGAACTCAACAACTTTTCTTAGTAGAGTTTTGTCAAGAACTTTTTAATTATCAAGTTAAAAATTGTTAAAGTTATACCCCAATTAAGGTTACCCGCCCATGGATCCTCAGTCACCCATGGACACTAATAATTATTATAATTAATAATTTACGGTCAAAAACAGTTACTAGGATACGTATTTTCCCAATCTTGTCAATGTGACAAACATTTAGAGAGAAATTGAAAATCCTGCTCCCTAATGGCGTACGAAATTTCAACGGCCCAAATGTGAGTGTTGAACACCTTCCCTCGTGTAATCGACCTCATCAGTTGATGGTATAAGAGATACAAAATTTGCTTGTTCGTTTATTTTTCTATTAAACCACTCACAAAAGTTTTGCCTACGTGGTAAGTCTGTTAGTTTCAATAACTGAACTTTCTGGTCATAAAAGGGGTACATTTGTTCTCTGAGTATCCTCCAAATACTACTCTCCGATACATCACACTGAACAGTGATACGTGCTAGTGCCCGGTCGAGCTTCGACACTCTTCAAAACAGCCTCTTCAATATTAGCAATTCTATTACTACGTAACTTACCCCGATCCTGAGGTGCAGGTTTAAAAGATCCGTACTCTCGAAAATGCTACAACGTTCTTAAAACTGCGCACATTTGGCAGACGATTTGGGAGGTTTTCTGAAAAAATTCCTTGGGCGCGAGTGCCGTTTCCCCGAGCTTCACCGTACGTTAAAACCATATCGGTGCATTCCAGATTTGAAAACAAAGCCATTTCAACACATTTCGTCTATAAATTAGAAATCTGTGCCTAACAAACTTTAAAGAGACAACGTTTAATAAAAACATTGACATAAAAATGATTGTCAGTGTCAAAACGGTTGCTACGGTACCTTCTTCATTGTTGTAGTGTTGCTATTATTTAAGTTATTATTTAAGGTGAACATAGACGGCTCGTGAATATATGGGTGGGAAAATTCGAAATTCGACTTGAGTTTTCGAAAAAATGCTAGATAAAAAAGTTGTTCCGTTTCACGGGTTCTGCTACTGGTTAAAATTAATGTACTTATTTCTGAGACACCCTGTACATATAGATAAAATTTTCTTGATCTTTTTTTAAAAAGGTGGCCTGCAACGTGTCAGTGCTTTGAAAGAAATCAACCCTAACTTGAAAGTTATGCTAAGTGTTGGAGGGGCCACAGCTAGTCCTTGGGCTTTCGAATCAGCAGCCAACGATCCTGCAAAATTAGACGCTATGGCCCAAAGTGCTATCGAATTCTTTGAAACTTACGGATACGATGGACTGGATGTTGACTGGGAGTACCCTCAAGATAAAGCAACATTCAACAAGCTACTTTCAGGTTTAAGAGAAGCTTTGGAACCTAAAGGTTATCTGCTTACAGCTGCTGTAAACTCAATTCCTGGCGAAGTAGGAGGTTATGACATTCCAGTCATGACTCAGTAATTTAACTATTTCATAATTTTTGTAATGGTTACTAATCCACTTTCAATAAATAGAGTCTTGGACATCATCAACGTGATGACCTACGACTTCCACGCAATGTGGGGAGGATTTACAGCAGAAAATTCTCCTTTGTACGGTGGCGTTAACGAAAGTCAGTGGCAAAGAGACAATCGTAATGCGGATGCTGCTATCCGATATTGGTTAGATGGAGGTGCAGATCCACAGAAAGTAGCAATTGGAGTTGCTTTTTATGGTCATTCTTTTATTCTTGCTGATCCCTCTAAGCATGGTTTAAACGATCAGACTGCTGCTCCCGGAGATCCAGGACCTTACACTGATAACCTTGGAAGTTTGGGTTACAATGAGGTAATATAAGTAATTCAAGAAAGATAACTTAAAAGACAAAACGTATTGTGTTGTAGATTTGTGAGTTTCATCCCGATGGAACTGTTGTTTATTTGGATGATATGAAGGTACCTTACTTGTATGATGGTGATTTTTGGATTGGATTTGATAATGAACAATCTGTTGCAGAAAAAGTAATGGAAAGTCTCAATTTGATGTGCAAAAGTAATTAATTTCTTGTTTTTCAGGCGGCATACGCTAAAGAGAAAAATCTAGCTGGTGTGTTTATTTGGTCTATAGAAACAGATGACATGCACGAATTTTGCGGCAGGAAAAACGGGCTTCTAAATGCGGTTAATGACGCTATGCATGGTTAACATTTTAAACTGTAATTACAGATATCAGTTTTTTAAACAATAAAGCAACTACAACTGTAAGCAATGCATTGTTAGTTAGTAATAATAAAAAAAAAATAGCTGAACGTTTTTAGACAAGATTCTTTAGTACTATCGTAACAATCGTAATAATTAGCATGTTCAACAAGTGGTGTTTGAGTTGACAATAGAATGAACCAATTCTGAAAAAAATTTCTTTCGCCGTTACTGCCAAAATGATAGGGGCTATGTTACTTTGATGTCCTCAAAAAAGTTTTGTTATAACATTTTAATAATAATAATAAACAATAACAAATTTTGACGTTAATTAAATGACAACAAAAGGTAAAGTGGTGTACCAAATTCAAGCAAAATTTATGGATGCTAACTGAAACAGTACTTGTTGATCACGCTGTAGCTGTATGTACAATAGGGTGATTCAAAAAAAAAAAAAATTTTTTTTTTCGTGTCAAAGAGGTTCAAAAGTTTCTTTTCAACGTAAAAAAATACCAGTTAAAAGTTGAGCTCTTAATATTAATATTAAGACCGTCCGCATCGCGTTTTTCTATTTCCCATAAGAATAACATGGGAAAATTTTTGTTTGCACCTTCTGATTTTTATTGCTAGCCCGTCGTGTGTCGTGAAAAAAATTCAATCACATATTTTTATAGAGAATTGAACGCTCTACAAAAAGTGTCTCCTATGATTTTGCGAGAAACCTGACTATGATTTTTTAACCCACTGATGCTGAAAATGTTCGGAAAGAGTTTTACTGGCCTTATTATAGCATAAAATTATAAACAATTAGTGTTTAAAAAACTAAATTTAAAATGTGTATAAATTTTTGTGGTGATTTATTCCAATAAGACCATCAAATTTATTGTAATGCATCAAAAACGTCAAAATTTGGATAAATTTAACTTTAGCCTAAAATAACTCTTCAACTATCAGGTTTCTCGCACAATCATAGGAGACACTTTTTGTAGAGCGTTCAATTCTCTATAAAAATATGTGATTGAATTTTTTTCACGACACACGACGGGCTAGCAATAAAAATCAGAAGGTGCAAACAAAAATTTTCCCATGTTATTCTTATGGGAAATAGAAAAACGCGATGCGGACGGTCTTAATATTAATATTAAGAGCTCAAATTTTAACTGGTATTTTTTTACGTTGAAAAGAAACTTTTGAACCTCTTTGCACGAAAAAAAAAATTATTTTTTTTTTTGAATCACCCTAATGTACAACAACGATCAAATTTGACAAATGTAGGTGAATTCATAACTGCTTAAAAAATGGATATTGGCCTACTGGATTTAGGAACTTTCCAATAAAAGTACATTTTGTTACGGAAAGAAGTACAGAGTTAAGAAAATAGATCTTCATTTCACGCAAATTTTATCTACTCGTCTTTCTTCGTCTATGTTGTACATACGTTCTTTCTTCAGTGCCTGTCTTAATTATCAACTTTTGTTGGTCTAACTTCCGTCAACTACCGTCTGTTTGCTCTGTATTTCTCTGATCGTCTGCCTTTGTTATTATTATTAATATTATTATTATTAGTATACTGCCCCTACAGTGTTCCTGTTTGTCGCGTGGTTTCGATATCAGCTTGTCAAATAATAAATGTGCTTATGTAGAAAACCCAATACCAGAATCCTCATCATGGAAAGAATGTATTGCATCAGCAACTAAATTGTGTTGATTCCATATACAGATGTTGACAGACTTGCGTGAGTTATGTGGTGGCTAGGCTTGTCTTTGCGCCATTGTCGAAGTAGGCGCTACTCTTAGCACCGAGAATCGAAATTTCAATCTCTGGTCGCTCGACTAGGTGAGCGTCCAGGAAACAAAATTCTTGAGTTCTCGCTGTGGTCAGTGGCACTTTCTGTGAATTATTCCAGGGGTTCTTGCCCCTTGCCCGTGGCTCTCTTGGGATTCGGTTTGACTCGGCACTTCCCGTACACTTTCATCCCGTCTGAGATGGGTTGTCGCCTATTTCCGGCATGTGGCGATTTCGTGGGTGAAACTGTGACAGAACTCGCATTTGATTTTCTTTGATTTTGTTTCTGCGGCGGTGTCTCTTCTTTCATTTAGTCTCTGCCGGGTGATCCCCCCTCGCGGAAAGCTGCGGCGAGGTCAAAAAACGTAGTTACTGTTTTTCTAGGGATTCGGTCTTTTACTTCCAATTGTAGAAGATCGAAGATGAAATCCATTTGCCTCGTTTCATTATCAACGGGCTCAATCTGACCCAAAAGTACCTCCTTTTTGCGCGACAAAACCACCTGTGGGTGTATTGAAGCTTTGGGACTTAGGAAAAACCCCTTGGTACACGTGATAGGCTAACTTGATTATATTGGTGATGTTTAATTATAAATACTTATGTCAAAATTTTAAATAATTTAAATAAATTATGTTTTTTTTAATGATTTTTGATGATTTGAAAATTGTTTCATATTAATGGTAAATATAAAAAAAAAGATGTGCGAAAATCAGATAATTCAAAAAAAAATACCATTCAAAAAATTTACAAAAGTGTTACGACAGTATGAGACACGTACTTATTTTTAAAATCTCTATTCTATAACACAATCATTCCTTTATCTTTTGTTTTAAATTTCAAAACTGACATTTTTATCAAACTTCACCAAGTCCTTTGCCATTTAAGTGGATTTCTAAATGTTTACTCCGTGATTGCACGTTTAAGAGAAGCAAGATAACGGAAATCCTTCATTTTAGTACCTCCACATTAAAAAGTTTAAACGAGGTGCAAAATGGTCTTAAAAGTAATCATATTTCTTTCTTTAGGATTTTTCCTAGAAGAATCCTCCGCAGCAACAGGTAATTAGCAATATCCACCGTTAAATCTATTTAAACACTTATTTCTTCTTACAGATAAAGTTATTTGCTATTATGCTAGCTGGGGCGCCCAACGACCAGGCAATGGCAAGTTCGTACCTGAAGATATTGATGTAAATCTGTGTACTCATATTAATTATGCATTTGTTGGACTTGACAGTGATAGCAGAATAATTGTCCTAGACGAAGAGAATGATATTAATCAAGGTAGGTATAACCCTATTTGTAACGGCTTAAATTTTCTTTTTTTAAAAAGGTGGGCTAAAACGTGTTAGTGCCTTGAAAGAAATCAACCCTAATCTGAAAGTTATGCTAAGTGTTGGAGGAGCTACAGCCAGTCCGGAGGCCTTTGAAGGAGCAGCCAACGATGCTTCAAAATTAGAAGCAATGACCCAAAGTGCCATAGAATTTTTTGAAACTTACGGATATGATGGACTGGACGTCGACTGGGAATACCCTCAGGATAAACAAACATTCAACAAACTACTCTCAGGTCTGAGAGCAGCTCTTGAACCTAAAGGCTATCTACTTACAGCTGCCGTAAACTCAATTCCTGGTGAAGTAGGAGGTTACGACATTCCCGCCATGACTCAGTAAGATATTCCATTATTATTTTAATTTTTACTAGTTCAGTTTCAATAATTAGAGTCTTGGATATCATCAATGTGATGACCTATGACTTCCACGCAATGTGGGGAGGATTTACAGCAGAAAACTCTCCATTATACGGTGGCGTTAACGAAAGTCAATGGCAAAGAGATAATCGTAATGCTGATGCTGCTATCAGATATTGGTTAGATGGAGGCGCAGATCCACAAAAAGTAGCAATTGGAGTCGCTTTCTATGGTCATTCTTTTATTCTTTCTGATCCCTCTAAGCACGGCTTGAACGACCAGACTACTGCCCCCGGCGATCCGGGACCTTACACTGATAACCTTGGAAGTTTGGGTTACAATGAGGTAAAATAAGCAATTCAAAAATGGTAATTTATTAGAAGACAAAACGTATTGTGTTATAGATTTGTGAGTTTCATCCCGATGGAACCGTTGTTTACATGGATGATATGAAGGTACCCTACTTGTATGATGGTGATTTTTGGATTGGATTTGATAATGAGCAATCTGTTGCAGAAAAGGTAATGGAAAGTTTCAATTTGATGTGAAAAAGTAAATAATTCCTTGTTTTTCAGGTGGCATACGCTAAAGAGAAAAATCTAGCTGGTGTCTTTATTTGGTCCATTGAAACAGATGACATGCACGAGTTTTGCGGCAGGAAAAACGGACTTCTAAACGCGGTTAATGACGCTATGCATGGTTAATATTTTGAACTGTAATTACAGATTTTAGTTTTAGACAATAAAGTAATTACGACTGTAAGCAAAATATTACTCCTATTATTTTATGATAACAGCAAAAATATACCTTACAGCCGAATGTTCCTGGGCAGGATTATTTACTAGAATCATATTAATAGTAATAATAAGTTAATAATTGACCTAGTTTGCTACGTCGAGCCGGAACAGCAGTCAAATTAGTCGATAGGTATAAAACGAAGATCGATTTTGAAAATTGTAAATGAATTCACATAACCGTGATAAAAATGATATTGGCGTACTCAATTTAGGAATTTTCCAATAATAATTATAAAAAATGAAAACTCATGATCATAATATACTTAGCGCATTTTCTTACAAAAACAAGTGCAGATTTTGGAAAATATATATTCTCCACTTTACACACATTTTAACTATTCTTTTTCTTTCTCTTGTATTGTACATTCTATCCTCAGTGTCTATCTTAATCATCTACCTCTCTTGGTCTAGCTTTAATTGTCTGCCCTCTGTTTGTTCTGTTTCTCTGGTCGTCTGCCTTTGTGTTTCTCATCTGCATTGTACTATCTGCTATCAGAATAGTACATACTGAACATGATTTTATAGAAAATCAAATACCAGAAATCGCAGCGTGAAAAATATATCAACAATTAACTAAATAATAAACTATTTTGATTCAAACGGAAATTAAATACTTACATCTAAAAACCATGAAACAACATCCATATTTCATAGTATTACAAGCAAAATATCTTCTCAGTGTGTTAATTTGTCAGATTCTTGTAAATTTGATAGTATTTTTAATTAGAATCTATATACATTAAACATTACTTAGTGCTTGTGAAAATGCAATAGAAAATCTATGAAATTAGAGTTGGCGTTGCAGGTCAGGCTTTGGGTGATATTATTCATGTGTGTAAATCACTACCAACATAACATTTAACAAACTACTTACTTTTATAGCTGGATGTTTACATATTGTATTTACATAAATGTATAGAACTCCATTGTACGTGCTTAATTTTTGCCTTAGGTAGCTGATCAAAATGATGTACTTTGTTAGTTGTGCAATAGTACCAACTAAAGAAATGATCCCACCGTCAAATGTAATTTGTTTTATTTTCGACTGCAAGGTATAAATTTACATATAATTTTTTTAATAATTTTTAAATGTCGAGAACGACAAATGAAAGCTCCATTGTAATTATATTACATAAATACGTAACTACGAGTAATACGGCCATGTCCCTTATAAGTCACTTATGGCTTTGGTATTATCAGTACGTAATTTAAAACAAATTAAAAAATTTAAAGATTTTTTAACACATTGGACGAGTTCAGATCCATTTTGTTGAAATCGTCACAGATATTATTTTTAAACTGACAGTGACAACCACCTGAAAGTCTCATTTTTGGATAAAGTGCTAGAAATAACAATAGATTATTATCAGACGACTGATGGAAAATATTAAGTAGATTGTTTGGATAATCTTTCATCATTCATCAACAAGCGAAGATAAAATCATCAAAAGAAGTGTACACGAAAGTGTACTCATATCGTTACTTTCTAAGAGCCATTTTGTCAAAGAAAAATTTAAAAATACCCATGTAATCAGACGATAATCATGAGATGAGCATTTAACCAATCAGATTTTCACATTCATGACTTAATAAGTGCTGTTAAAATTTTGAATTTACTTTTTATAAATCAGACTTAAGTGTTTTTTTTTTAATAATAATTAAATTCTTAAACAAAACATATTTTTTCATCAACTACTGTCTTACACATTGTGTACGACAATGATGAAATCGTTATTTTTTAGTTAAATTTTTGCTATCTGTAAAATAATTTTCAAATGTATTTAATATTTCTGAGTGACCATGTCCCTAGTTTGGAGAATATGTTCAGATCGCAAAGAGACAAACGACATACAGAAAACAAAATAATGGAATAATTTTCATATCTTACAAACTTTGAAACGTAGCGGTTTTGTACATCTGTGTATATTATTGTATCCTTCCAGGAGTACTTTTTCCTTTACTAATAATTTAAGAAATAGTCAACCGAAAATGTAATCTTTTTCTCTTTTTATTGACGTGACAACGTCTTATAATTCGATTGAGCCAGCTGCACGCACGAAAAAACATGACTCATGCGGCGTTACCTCGCTCTGAGGCGTTGCGTTACCTCGCTCTGAGGCGTTCCATGTAAGGCTTGAAGTGCAAGCGAGAACGCGGAACGAGCGACAAAGAGGCACAATCGGCCTTCGCGTTCGGCAGCGTTCGCCATCCGTCTCTCTCCTACTTGAGTGAGCGATGCGTCTGCGTGGACAGCAATTAAAATTTTCTTTTGAAAAATGCTACCATTCCATCAGTATTTTCTTAAGACGTTGTCACGTTCAACTATCGTCAGTAAACCGACTTTACAGACAACCGATATTTTTTTTCATATTTACGCTACAGTCGGTAAAAAGAAAGGAAAGTAATTCATTTTATTAAAAAAGAATCTAAAGTACAAGTTTGTATGGTTTGAAATAACGATATTATCTCGAATGTTGTTTACGGTGCCATCTATTACAGCAAAGCTGCTACTTTTTTAAGTGCGTTAATTATCTTTAGAAAAATCAGAACGTAAAAAATATACTTACAATATCTTAATTTTCATGTATGTGTCTTCGTAAATAATACACTTGAAACCAACGTAATCTTTAAAAAATATCTCCTCTTAATTTGATACTTGACGAGATAAAACTTATTCTAAATTGTACCAGTGGCGGTGCAATTACTTCGGTTTCAATTTTATCAACTTTATCATTTTTAGTTCCTTTAAAATCTCAGTTCTAACTCGGTACGCCACTGGCAGAACCACAGATTTAATACCCGGGAAAGATATATAAAGACTTTATTTTAACCTTAAATTGAAGTGTTTTAAAAGCATCTATCACAAGTAAAAATGTTCCCAAAACTGATAACAGTTTACTTGAGTTTAATTTTCATAGGTCAGGCCTTGAGTGCTAGTGGTTCGTATGTAACACAATATCATAAAAAAATCGTAATATTTTTCTAAATTTTAGACAAAGTAATATGTTACTACGCCAGTTGGGCTGTCACCAGGCCTGGAAATGGTAAATTCGTACCGGAAGACATCGATCCCAGCTTGTGTACTCATATAAACTATGCTTTCGCCGGTCTGAACACTGACGGGACACTACAAATTTTAGATGAAGAAAATGACGTGAACCAAGGTTCGTATTATATTAATTCCTATATTTTCTCAAAAGGGTAATCATGTATGGAATTTAGAGGGTTTCAAACGTGTGAGTGGACTTAAAGAACAAAATCCTAACTTGAAGGTTCTTCTAAGTGTTGGTGGAGCAGCTGCTGGTACAGATGTGTTTATATCGATCACCATGGATGCTCAAAAACAACAAGCTCTGGCCCAAAGCGCTATTGAATTTTTTGAAACCTACAACTTTGATGGGCTAGATGTTGACTGGGAGTACCCTAACAGCAAGGAAGGTTTCAACACTCTTCTTTCATCTTTAAGATCTGCTTTTCAACCAGGAGGTTACCTATTGACTGTTGCTGTTAACTCGATTCCTGGAGAGGTGGGAGGCTATGATATCCCTACAATGTCTAGGTGAGTACTTAGAATTTTAGTATTAGTATTTCCATATTAAGAGTGTTAATATAGTACTTTAGATATCATAAATGTCATGACCTACGACTTTCACGGTATCTTCGCTGGTTTCACGTCTGAAAATTCTCCACTTTATGGAGGAGTAAATGAAAGTGACTGGATGCAAGAAAATCGTAATGCTGATGCAGCTATTCGGTACTGGATTGATGGTGGTGCCGACCCACAAAAAGTTGCCATCGGAATAGCATTCTATGGGCATTCGTTTATTTTGCAAAATCCTTCAAACCATGGTCTTAATGCTCCTACTTCAGCTCCAGCAGATCCGGGAGAGTACACAGATAATCTTGGTAGCTTAGGTTATAATGAAGTAAGTACTTTTTCTAACTTCACTATATTATTTGTTGTTGAATAATCTTTTTTTTAATTAGATATGTGAGTTCCATCCCGACGGTACAGTAGTTTTCTTAGATGACATGAAAGTACCATATTTGTATGATGGTAGTTTCTGGATTGGTTACGACAATGAAGAATCCGTAGCTCTTAAGGTAGGGTTTAAATTAATTTATCTCTTAAATATACAACAAAATATTTGGATGTATTCTAGGTTCAATACGCTAAAGAAAAAAATTTGGCTGGAGTTTTCATATGGTCTATTGAAACAGATGATATGCACGAATTTTGTGGACAAAAGAATGGTTTGCTGAAGGCAATAAACGCTGAAATTAAAAAATAAAATTAACTACATATAATGTAATGATTAAAATAAACAGTTTAAGTTAATGTTCAGTTAAAGCACAAACGCCATCATCTAAGATTCTTGTGTTTGAATAAATATTGGTCGAAAAGAGTTTCTGTAAGAATCCATATGGTAAAAATATAAATATAATCAGAATAAAGTAACAAAAGTCCCCTAAAGGAAACATAAAGTCGTAAAACGTTGATAGAATGAATTATAACCAAAAAGATCCAACCTGAAACTTAAAGTAAATAGATAAGATGTTTAACTCTTTCTGAAAACTGCGAACTAAATTTTAGAAGTTACAAACGCAATCAAATTCAAAATGCACACAAGTTGCAGTTATCGTATATTTCAAAGAATTTCGTCTACAAAGATTGTGTGAACGGCAACGCTTTAAAGACAGCAAATTTTGTACTCTAACTAGAAACAACATCCAACTGTCGTCCGCAAAATGGATCTAAATTACATTTAAAAACTACACTAGAATTCCTGGGATTTAATAGAGAAGCAACATAAACACAAGGTTCAGAGTTCACATCAAAGATTGCCCAAGAGTTTGGATAACAGTTAACTAGTCATCTATATGGACTTTCAAAAACGGTTATACCAAATTGACGTTTTCAGATTATGTATATCTAATTGTTTAAACTTCACAAATCTACTTTTAAAACTGTTTCTGTGATACCCTCTAGAAAACGAGCACTTTCTTAGGAACATGAAATAAGAGTAAAAAATTGATCGAAGATTATTTCGACCGAACTTCGAGTAGCCCGATGGACTCGATTACAATACTTCCTTAGCTTACGCTTGAGAAGTAAAAATAAAAATTACATTAAAAAAGTGTTAAGAAATAAATGAGTCAAAATTAACCAGAAAGATCATTTTTCGCAATAAAAATAACAGAAAGGCAGTGGAAAAAAATCATTACGTAAGCAAAGAAAAATGTTATCAGATACCGTTGTTTAATGGTAAATCCACTTTAAAATGTAATTGTAGATAAATATTGAGAACGTGTTTTGTGTCTAGGCTGAGTTTTACGAGTCATCCTAAAAATGTCTCCAAAAGTAACAATACTTTTTGTGTTATTCATTTTTGTCAACCAAGTTTGGTCAGCGTCTGGTACGTACTTAGTTACCATATTTCCCCTCCATTGCTATCAATATTATGTAGTCTGTTTTTCTGTTTAGACAAAGTTATCTGTTATTACGCTAGCTGGGGGGCCGAAAGACCAGGAAATGGCAAGTTCTTACCCGAAGACATAGACCCCAACATTTGTACACATATAAACTATGCTTTCCTTGGGCTGAGTGACAATGGAACTTTGGAAATATTAGATGAAGACTTAGATGTTACGCAAGGTAGAATTCCACGAGTCTTTATTTTATTCTGTCCTACAAAGACACACATATTTTTAGGAGGTTTTAGTAGAATCAGTGCCCTAAAAGAGCAAAACCCTAATCTTAAGGTCCTCTTTAGTGTGGGGGGAGCAGCCGCAATACCCTGGACATTTGTGCTGGTTTCCAACGACTCGGACAACGTTGCAAGGATGGTTCAAAGTGCCCTAGATTTATGCGAAAAGTACAATTTTGATGGCCTAGATGTCGACTGGGAGTATCCTTACGGTGAAAGCGCACAACAATTTGTTAATCTTATTGCTTCATTAAAAGCAGCTTTTGAGCCCAGAGGTTATCTGGTAACAGCTGCTGTTAACTCTATTCCTACTGAAGTAGGAGGTGGCTATGATATTCCAGGATTGTCGGCGTAAGTTTGTTAAATCTGTGTTTAGCATTAAGTATTTTTTGTTTTAGTGTTTTAGATATCATAAATGTCATGACATATGATTTTCACAATTATATTGGGGGGGTAACAGCAGAGAATTCTCCTCTCTATGGTGGAGTTAATGAAAGTCAGTGGGAAAAAGATAATCGCAATGTGGACGGTGCTATTAGACAATGGATAGACGGGGGTGCTGATCCTGCGAAAGTTGCTGTAGGGATAGCTTTTTACGGTCATCATTTTATTCTTGCGAATCCTTCTAATCACGGTCTGGATGCTGTAATTAGTGGTCCTGGAGAACCTGGTCCATATACAGATAATCTTAGTAGTTTAGGTTACAATGAGGTGACTAATTTTAACAATTGTAACATTTGTATTCTTTATAGATGCTTTTGTTGTAGATTTGTGAGTTCCATCCTAATGGGAATACAGTTTTTCTTGATGATATGAAAGTGCCATATATGTATGAAGATACCTTTTGGATTGGATATGATAACGAAGAATCTGTGGCTGCTAAGGTAATTTTTGAAAATGAAAATGAGATTTCTTTTTAGTTATTTTGTTTTTTTGATTTGTAGGTTCAGTACGCAAAAGACAACAATTTAGCAGGTGTATTCATTTGGTCTGTTGAAACTGATGATTTGTACGGTTTTTGTGGACAAAGGAACGGTCTACTTAATTCGATTAAAAGAGCCATGGAGTCTTAAATTAAACTCGATTAAATTTGTAATGTTGCAGTAAAACTATTAAAAAAAAAACAAATGCAAAAATTTCATTTCTGTCGTTAATAGCGTTTTGAAAATATGGCAACATGTCAACTGAATCTAGTAAAATTAAGGGTCTCCTTGCACTATGGATTTTAGATTTTTCTGAGAACTAGAACCATAGAATAAACAAAAGGACTGTCCATTACAAGAAATTCGGCATACAGAAGTAACATTTTATTGAGATAAAATTAATAATATTATTAAAAATGTGTTATCTACCTGTATATGATGATAAAGCAAAACATACTTTGTCAAAATTATTCTAAAATCTTGTCACCTTGTCCGATTAACGGTACAATACGTCAATAGTTCTTGAGGGCACATTTCAAAATGAACTAAATTTCATTTTCTTCGAATTAATTCTTGTATTTAGTTTTCTTCACTGAAAAAACTGGCCCCCGAAGTCAGTGCCACCAATATTAAAACTGTCGTAACCAGATAATATAAGAGGTAGACTGCCTCCGGAGCACATTCGAGACGTTTTAGGCACAGCTGTGGAACTAACACTGCCCTAGGAAGACGATTTGTGCACCGTGACTGTCCCTGTATTCATAAGTCATCAGTTAATCACACAATGAGTTAATCAAAAGAGAAAGTTTAAAAACTAACCTGGATAATACTTCCAACAACAGCGATGTAAAAACAAATCACATGAGTTTTCAAAAAGAACCAACTTTTAGAACAAAACAAACGATGTAGAAGACGAAGAACATAAAGAGTACGAAGATTCATAGAACAATAATAAGAAAAGATTAGAAAAATAAAGGTACTGTATGTTGAAATGGATGTTATAGAGAAGAATTTGCTGACAGGAACATCACTAAAATTAAAAACCGAACTTAAATAATAAGTAATGAGTTAATGACAAATGAATACAACAAACTATGGAATGCAAAGGGTTTTATAATGCTATAACAATAACGACTTTTATTTGTGAAAAATATAAAGAATACTTGCTGCAAATTATAGTATATATATATTAACCGATAGTCGATAGTGTATTCTGTACTCCGGGAATTCAAAAATATTAGTTAAAGCCACAATATTTTAGTCTCATATATAAAATAAAAGTAAAGCATTTTTCTTGAACCACAATACATCATTAATTGCCTAAAAATGAAAAGATGTTTGGATAACAGTTTTTTTTTATCCAAACTGAACAAAGTTCACAGTTTACAAATGCTCTCTTTGACCACTAATAACAACCAGCAAATTTCTTCCTTTGAAGTCTTTCTTTTCCAAAGCGCAAAAAATAGCATGCATTTCGAGTATTTCAGGAAAGTTTTTTTTGACTATTTCTCTCAGAAAATTTCAACCAATCATATTAACCCATCTTACCAAAATCACCTAGCAATGGAAGAATATGACCGAGTATTCGATGCATTATGCAAATACGCGGGTATTTGTACGTGTGTTTATAGTGAATATTTGACATTCTACAAAAATAAGTATTGACTAAATTATTTTAAAAGTTTATTTATTCGAATAACGAAATACACAGTTATAATAGTTATTAGTTGCAGTTTTATTACTTGTAGCTTCGCTCGGCAAATTTTCATTTCTCATTTTTGAAATCAATTTAATTTGATGTTCGTCATCCAGTTTTAAGTATGAATTGATTGAGGTCACACTGCTGTGACCTGTAATTTTCGATATTTGGTGTTCGCCAACACCACTTTTTGCCAAATTTGATACAGCACTGGAACGGTTGGAATGATTTGTCACTTTTATGCCTTTTACATCCATTCCTATCTCCTTTGCCTCAGTTCTTGAAGAATCCAACAGAATTTTCTTTCTTCCACGAAGGATTAGGAGTTAGAAAAAGACGATTTTTAGAGACATTCTTGTTTCGTTTTTCTATCATTTTGTAAAATAATCTATAGAACTCATAAATTTAATTAAAAATTATTGAGAAAAGTAAACTTACCGGACTGGGCATCGATCTGCATTTATTTTGTTTGTCATTAGAAATTTTTTTTTGTCAGCGGCCTAGCTCCTCCTTGCGATGTGTTACTAAATACTGGGTTGTAAATAGTACGTCCTGTTGTTTGTCCAAAATTATCTATTTCTTCAAAAAAAGTGGTAAGGCAGTTTACAGCCTCACTCCCTCGCCAAGTCAGTTCGTATGAGGCAATGTGGTAAAATTTGCGTTGTAAGCCTTCAGGCGTGTTTTCGTCCCATAAGGCAACCATTTTTTTATGTTCTTCTACGTTGAAACTTGCAGCACTAGTTTTCCGTTCTTCATTTGAACATTGTACCTCCTTTCGTTTATTATCTCGAGCATACCTTGCTGACGTAAATTTAATATCCTTGAATGGACCGAAAGAAATGCCATATTCCTCGAAGAATTTTTCCTGTACCACTTTTGCCACCCCATCCCATTGGGTCTTAACTACTCCTTTATAATCTTCCCCGTCTTTTTTTTTTTCATCTTGAATCCGAAATCCTTTAAAATTCTCGCCAAACTTGCTACAGACGTGCTTTCGTTTAAAATATAGCCTCTTGACTTGCAGAATTCATCAAACAAGTTCCACGAACTAATATATGACTTATTCTTTTATTATTATTATTAATATTAATGATATTATTATTCAGTATGTTCAACAGACTTACCTCCATTTACAGAACATACAACCGTTATGCAAATGTATATAGATAATTAAGATTATGTAAAAAAGCGAATGAATTGTGTAAACTGTAAGCAATATGTTCACAACAGTTGTGCACTTAAAAAGAAGTGTTGTGAAAATCAAAAACTCTTATCGGAGGCTGTGTATGATTCTGAAGAAGAACCGGAACCCGAACAAACCAAAGATGTGAAAGAAGTCATAACAAAAAATGAAGCAACGCTACTTAAAATGGAAAATCGGGAACTAAGAGAACAGAATAAAATACTACGGAAGAGAGTACTGTACTTACAGGATGAGGTTGATGCATATCAGGATGGGAAGTTCACAAATGACGAAAACAATGCCTCGTTTCAGGCTCATGTGGTGACGGCATGTCAGTCTACATTTATTTCAGCCTTTGCTAATTTCAGTAAAGAATGGAGAGAGAAATTAGAACAATTGTCACTAGAGATGCAGAATATTAAGGTCTCATTAACTGAAATGAATGCCGTAAAAACTGATCAGTACTCGTCGAATCAGTTTAATGAAAAAGTAAATAAAGAAGATCCATCGATCTTGGTGGTGCCAAAAAAACAACCGGCGATCCACCAAATTAATTCTAATCCGGAAAAAATGAGAGACCGACAACGCCAAATTATGAACGATGTTATTAATCTAGCGGAAAAAGATGTTGTCCAAAAACCATCTTACTCAACAGCTTCAACAAAGAATAACAAAAAAATACAATCGAAAGGTGTAAGCGCCCCCATCATAAATAACAAAGTTAGTGACCCGTCTTACAAACCTGACCAAATAGAGGAAGAGGAATCTTTCCAGAAAATACACCACAAAAAGAAGAAGCCGAGAAAGTATCAATATGAAGTTGGAGAAGAAACGAGTGATGAGAATTCTTTCATCGGTACAAGTAAAAAAGAAAGAAAAATATGGCTTTTTACTTCGGGAGCGAAGGAACATGTAACAACAGACATTGTTTCAGACTATGTTTCAAAGAAAATAAATGAAGACAAGACAGACGTACATGTAAAAGAGATTATCCCATATCACAAAAAACAGGACAACAAATGTTTTCTCATTGGTGTCCAACCTAAACATCTTGAAGCGGTCTATAGCAAAAAGTTCTGGCCTCAAGGAATCCGATACTCTCGTTTCAATTTTAAAAAAGGAGAACATTTTTTAGAGAAAAAGTGAACGAAAATAAACATAAAACTGAAAGGTCCAAATTCCATCTGAACAGCCTTAGGATCATTCACCAAAATGTTCAATCTATAGGCAACTGTGTACCACAACTAGAACATTTACTAAATAAGGAGGTATGTGATTTTCTGTGTGTAACTGAACACTGGCAGGACCAACATCAGTTAAAAACTCGAAAAATATACGGTTATGAACTGGTATCTTTCTTTTGTAGTGTTGTAAAGTAAAGTAGGTTATTGTTGCATTATTGTTGCATTATAATTTCATTTCGACATAGTTTTGTTAGCTATATTAAATTAGGTTGCTTGTCCAAATGTTTTGTAATCGCTGACTCCTCTGTATTTTGTAAGAATATGGTCAGTTGCCCTCGTTACGAGGAAGTGATAAATAGAGGAGTCAACGAAGAGACAGGAGAGAGAATGTGTGTAAGGTAGAGAAGAAGTTGCCATGTGATCATGGCCATGTGTAAAGTTGTCATGTAAGTTTTGTTATGTGGGCAGTGAAATAAACGGGAAATCGAAATATATGTGTCTAAGTCACAACCCCTTCACAACATAAAAGTGGTGTCAGGTCTGTGGGGTTTTCGTTGAAAAAAGAGGTTCTTGAAGAGATTGCCTTAAGTCTCCGTTTCTTGAAGAGATTGCCTTAAGTCTCCGTTTCTTGAAGAGATTGCTTGAAGTCTCTGGTCCTGAAGAGATTGCGTAAGTAAGTCTCTGGTCCTTCAAAGAAAGCGAGTGGTCTTTGGTCTTCCAAGGAGAGTTTGTGGTCTCTGGTCCTCAGAAGAGAGCGTTGGTGGTTGTGGTACACATTTTCGAATCCAGTCCCGGAAGGAAATCAAGAAATTCTACGTCGTTGGATTGAGGCTAGTGAGTGAGTGTGTGGAAAAAGCAGAGCAAAGTGCGTGTATATTGCGTTAACACATCAAATCACAGGATTCTTCTATCGCTATACCTTGTAAGTTCGAATTTTTTATGAATGATCAATTTCTTGTAGACTTGAAGTATTTATTTGACGAAATCATGCCTTTCCAAATCGAGATAGCGTTAAAAATGATTCCCGAATTTAGTGGCGAACGTCGAGAGTTGCATAAATTTCTAAGTTGTTGTGATATTGTATATAATACAGCTACGACGCGTGCAGAAAAAGATAGTTTCCTAAGTGTTGTAAAAACAAAATTAT